TGCTGACAAATTCGCCGAAGTATTTCTCGCCTATGGGTCGAATGCGAAGACAAACGCCCGAGAGACCGTCCGCTTCCTGCCTGCTGGCTGTCAGCCCGACAGGCCAATGGCAGGAAGCAAAGGAGAGGTAGGAAGGAAGAACGAAAGGAGCAGGAGCAGCAGCAGGAGCAGCAGCAGGAGCAGCAGCAGCAGCAGGAGAAAGAAGCCATGGGGAGGAGGGAAGAGAGATGCCGAGGACAAGATAGTGGAGATGGTTGGTGACAGTTGGAACAGCAGGAGCGGAAGCAGGAGTAGGAGCAGGAGCAGGAGCAGGGACGGAGGATAGTTCTTAGGTACCTCCCTTTGAAGCGACTTCCGTCTGGCAGAGTCAGAAAATCACCAGGCAACTTTCGAGCCTGATGGAACCAATCAAAGGATGGAAAGGACAAGAGAAGCAACGAGGACGAGGACGAGCACGAGCACGAGCACGAGCACGAGCACGAGCACGAGCACGAGGATAAGAACAAGAGGACGAGGACGAGGATAACGAGGCAGCAGCAGCAGGGAAGGAAACGCAGTCAACCTGATTGCCGATCTCACGGGCTTTCTCATAGATTTCTAATCCCTTGCACAACAACTTCAGAAAGCGATTGGTGGAAGCATGAAAGCGAAGACAAGGAGACAAGAACAAGAACAAGGACAAGAAGACAAGGACAAGAGACAAGGACGAGGACGAGGACAAGAAGACAAGGACAAGAGACAAGGACGAGGACGAGGACAAGGACGAGGAGCAGCAGAAGGAGCAGCAGCAGCTGCTGCTGCTGCTGCAGCAGCAGCAGGTAGGATCATTCACCTCCCTGATAAAGTCCTTCATCTTCTCTCGCGTCAGCTCAATCTTATCAATATCCTCCTCCTCCTCCTCCTCCTCCTCCTCCTCCTGGGCAGCCGGTTTACCTTCCCCTCCCTCTCCTTTCTCTCCACCCTCCATTCCTCCGTCCGCATTCCTTGCTGTCTCCTCCCTGCCCTTCTCCTCCCCTGCCGTCCTTCCTCCTTTCGTCTCATCTGGGGCTGAAACCCACAGGGTCAGGGCGATAACTGCAAACAGCATCCACACACCTCCTTTGTCCCTGTTGTCGTCTGCCCCGCAGAAAGTTTTCAGCATCATGGTCAGCCCTCTCGACCCTCCGCGCACGTTCACCCACCTTCTCCTCTCACGCGCGCATCGGCAAACTTCTGCCTCGCCTCCTCCACCGCAGCCTCGGCCACTGGTCTGCTTCTCATGGACGTGAGCACTGCACGAGCAAGCTTCCTGATCTTTTCCCTACGAGGGGGTCAGCATTCAAGTTGGAAGAGGAGAAGGAGGAGAAGGAGGAGAAGGAGGAGAAGGAGGAGAAGGAGGAGAAGGAGGAGAAGGAGGAGAAGGAGAAGGAGGAGAAGGAGAAGGAGGAGAAGGAGAAGGGGGACGAGGAAGAGGACGAGGACGAGAAGGAGTGGGATGGGAGGAGAGAGGGAGGAGAGGAGAGGAAGAGAAGGAGAAGGAGATACAAGAACTCTGATCGCATCTGAAGCGTGTCATCATTCCATGCTGCTAGAATGTGTCAGCGCAGTCAAGAAAGGGAGGGAGGGGAGTAAAGAGGAGGCACCGGCGTACTTCTTGAAGAGATCGGAGTTGGTCATGAAATGAGAGACAACCTCTTCCTGTTCGATGAGGGTGAGGGAAAGGCAAAAAATGAGGGAGAGAGGCAGAGAGAGAGAGAGAGAGAGAGAGAGAGAGAGAGAGAGAGAGAGAGAGAGAGGCAGAGAGGGAGAGAGGCAGAAAGGCAGAGAGGCAGAGAGGGAAGGAGGGAACGAGGGAAGGGGGGTGTAGAGTCATGGAGGGAGCAGGATGGAAGTTGGTGTGTGAGGAATGGGGTGGGAGGAAGAGGATTCTTGAATACTTCGGTGTAACTGGCTTGAAACAGAATCTTCATCTTGTCGAGAATCTCTGCAATGAAACAAATTAGATAAAACAGCGAAGGAACAGAAAGGAAAAGACAACACAGCACAGTTCTGCACAGAACAGAACAAAACAGCTCATCACATCACATCACATCACATCACATCACATCACATCACATCACATCACATCACATCACATCACATCACATCACATCACATCACATCACATCACATCACATCACATCACATCACATCATATCATATCACATCACATCACATCACATCACATCACAAGAAGACAATCCAGTGCCCACCAGCATCGTCTGCAACTCTTCTCGTCGGTTTTGGTACTCTCTCCTGCTGCTGCTCCTTGACTGGAACTGTAAACCTCGCGATCCGTTCCTTGCCCTTGTCCCCCCCGTCCGTTCCTTTGTCTACCTTCTCCTCCTTGGCCTTGGCCTTTTCGTTCATCTTTGCAAAGGGACGAAAATCTTCCTGTCTCCCCCTGGTTTTCTCCTCCTCGCCCTTGCTGTTCTGCTTCCCTCCCTCTGTTTCGCCTCTCAACAAGGATAAAGTTTGCCTCGCCGTCGGCCTGTCCTCGGGTCTGCAAGACAGCATGCGAGCCGCGATCTGCGGCAACCGAATCATGAAAACTGCCGTCGGCAGAGGAGGGGGAGGGGAGGGGGAAGGGGGAGATTGAGGAGGGAGAGGGAAAAGGGAAGGGTGCAAGAGAAGCAGAAAAAGAACAGAAGAAGAGGATGTGCGCGAGGAAGCGATAGAGACATGTGAGGACGAGGAGAACGAGGAGGACGAGGAGGAGGAAGAGGACGAGGAGAACGAGCAGGACGAGGAGGAGGACGAGGAGGACGAGGAGGACGAGGAGGACGAGGAAGAGGACGAGGAGGACGAGGAGGATGAGGAGGAGGGAGAGGACAAGGAGGTTTGAGGGAGAAAGATGAGCAAAAGACTGCAAGATCCTTCAAGACTCATCAGACGACACGGGAAGAGGAGCGATACAAGGTTATGAACAATGAAAGAAAAAGGAGATTGGGACAAGAAAAGAAGGATGGGCAACAACTCAGCAACCTGTCGGTACATCTGCGGGTAGTGGGTGTGCATATCGTTGGCGGATAGCGGTGTGTTCATAACCTGCCACATGTCTCACAACCCTCAACATGTAACACTTTGAAGAACAAGGCAGAGATCGAATTCTTGATCAAGTTCGCGCACGAGCCAGTAACAACTCGAGACGACAGCGGTCATCAACATGCAACAAAAAGTGAACATCACGACTACGAACGCTCAAAACACCAAACAGGAGGACAAAACAGCAAATTTGCAGCAGAATCAACAGCAGCAACATCCAACAACAGCACTGAATCGATAATAATTAGCACACAACACAAACACAAACACAAACACAAACACAAACACAAACACAAACACAAACACAAACACAAACACAAACACAAACACAAACCTTGATGGCGAGAAGACCTTTAGACTCCCACAGGAAGTTCAACGACATCATCTCATACAAGATACAACCCAGCCCCCACATATCCGCAGCTTCCCCGTAGTGCTCTGACTTCAACACTTCTGGCTGTAAACCATCGTCACTTCTTCACCCCGACATCTCAGAGGCAAGACTGACAGCAGCGTATGACGGGGTGCCAACCATGGACATTCTCGATTGCTCCAACTTTCATCTCCATCAGCCAGGTGCAGGACAGGCAGGGAGCAAGCTTCTCACCTGGCGTGCGAGGCCAAAGTCTCCGATCTTCAGCGTGCTGATCTTTGTTATGAAGACGTTGAGAGGCTTCAGATCCCTGGGAACGACCCGAGGGTATCAACCCATGCGCCCAGAATCTTTCGACGACAGCAAACCTGTGGAGGACCTCGTTGCTGTGAATGTAAACCAGCGCGTCTGCTAGCTGCAGAAACCAGGAGGAGACTGTAGCTGCGGGGACCAACACCTTGCGAGATCTGACGTCTTGGAGGTAGTGTGCAAGGTCGCCATTCTACGGGAGGGGGTAAGGCAACAGGCGCTCCACATGGCAGCTTCCCACCTCACACCACTCCATCAGGATGTTCAGGCCCATCCCACTGCCCTTGTCGTCGGGGAGGTCGCTAAGGAAGAAGTCTTCGATCCTCACGACAGAACCATGGCTCAGCCTCTGCATCATCTTGACCTCCTTGAGGGCTTGGTTACCCTCCTTGTGGTCCTTACACTTGATCTGGTTAAGTACGATGACGCAGTCAGCCATGAGATCAGATAGAAATTGATACACAGAGATGGTTTCCACCTGTTTGATCACAAAGTACTTGTGATCTCTCCTCCTCCGCACGCTGAAAGTCTCCCCCTGCCCTCCCTTGCCAAGAGTCTTCAGAACTTCGAAGTCTTCCATCACGCCTGGTCTTCAATCCTGACAGGTCGGTCTACTCCATCCTGTTCCTCTAGACCTTAGTGTCGAAAGAAGTTGATCAGACGTGCAACAGCTCTCCACCCCCGCCTCCAAACCCCACCGCTCACTTTTCGTAACCCTTGGCCTGCCTCTTGGCATGCTCCTGCTGAATCTCCTCCTCCTGCCCCTCCTGCTTCTCGCTTCGTCTCTGCATCGTGTCGATACTTCTCTCCTCTTGAACCTTGCTCCTGATCCTGAGACTCCCTTCCTCCTCTCCCCTTCCCTCCTCCATCGCCTGACCACCCTCGTATGCCATATCCGTCTCTGCCTTCAATTTGGGATAGTGGGGCGGGCTCACAATATCAAAATTAAAATAAATTTAGTAAATTTTCAAATTTGAGATGACATATTCAAATATTGATCCTAAAAAAGAGATCCTAGTGCGCCTCAGAGCCTTGATGTGCAGTGCGCAGGGACGCATGTGGTGCTGAGAACAGGACGACGAGGACGAGGACGAGGACGAGGACGAGGACAGGGACGAGGACGAGGTCAAGAATCTTGGAAGCAATCTAGCTGTAAGGAAGCAGAATATCAGGGTTTCGATCTCTGAGTGACGTCTTCGTTCTGGAGGAACTAAGGGAGGTGATCGTAGGGGGAGTTAGGCATGATCAGACGCAGCAGTGCATGCTAGGAGAGATCCTGCCGCGGACACGACATGCAGAGGATTCAGTTGGGTCTGGTGATACTTGCAGCTATCTCCTGCACTCAGAGCAGCAGCAGCCTCACACATGGGGGAGGGTACAGAGTTCTCACTAACAGACTGAGAGGCGGGGGCTGGCTGTCCAAGGAATACAACGACTATCTTCAGGAATGCATACGAAATGGCTTCAAGCCGGAAAACACCACAGTGGAGCAGTACAAGGCCATGGGGATAGAGGGTGCCAGGAAAGACGAGTATGGCAACATCGTCTTTGCTCCGCCTGGTCTTACTCTGGAGGAGGCATACGAAAAGATCGAGCAGGGTGACAAGTTCATAGCTGGGCTAGGGTGAGAGCCGCTGCAATGGGGGGAAGGAGGAGAGGGGGGAGGAGGCTGACTGTGGTGGTCAGGCATGAAAAGATCATTGAGATTGTGGAGAACCTGCTCAACACGAACGTGAGGCCGTACAACCGTGATCCCTTCGAGCCGCTGCTGCGGGATGGAGGATTGGACACACATCCTGAAGACTGGGGTGACTTCAATGAGGTCGATGCTTTCGCACAGAAGCTGCTCGAAGACAACGGCTTCGTCTATGTGCGACCTTCTCCCCCGCTTGCACCTGAGTTGACCGATATGTTAGGATGCTGACAACGATGACTGGCTGCCTCCAAAGACTGAGCAGGAAGTGCAAGAACAACAAGAGCTTAAGAGAAAGATTCTTGAGATGCAGGGCCAGGAAGGACCGGCACGGCCGGTAGAGCTTGCTTCTAACGTTCTGTCACGTTCGTTGTTTGTTCTAAGATGTGATGCGCAGGTAAGGCAGTTGATCGACGATACAGATCCGACAACGACTTATTCAGTAGTTCAACATGAGCGGTGAAGATCAACACCAACAAAAAAAACTGTCTTTCAAGTACAAATATGTTACAAGGCTTCGAAACAAGCTCGCATGGCGGTTATGGTTTCTGAGGTGCGACAGAATAGAAAACAACCTTGCCTCATCGTTATCAGACTGGCGGACAAGGAGGAGGAGGAGGAGGAGGAGGAGATGAATGTGAATGACCATTCGCTCCAGCGGTCGCATTCCCTTTCTCCCCATCATGAGGATTGGGACGAGTCTCCAAGTAGACTTCCTTCCCGTCATCAGGCTCCACCTGAGCTCCGTTCTCTTTGCCATCATCGAGATAGTCTGAGGCGCTGCGGGCACTTGTATCGATGGGCAGGGCGACTTCGGTCCCGTCTTGGGAACTTTCTTCCCTCTCCTCTCTTGCATCCTGCTTGAAGAGGTCACGAGCAGAGGTCACAGAGTCACTCGTTACCTCTCGAGACATCGTCCCGATCTGATAGTTGTTGGTGATCATTTTCATGATACTGTCGGTGGAGGGCGCCAGCATCCAGTCCATCTGTCAATACAGTCATGAAGATCAATTAGAGGAGAAGATGAACACATCTCCAGCAAGCAGCAAAAAAGAAGTATACCTTCCAGAGAACAATGCAGAAAACCAGCAAGACAATGATCTCGATTCCACCATACGTTAGAGCGACCCTGACAGCAAGATCTCGTCTGTATTGATCCACAAACATGCTCATAGATGCAACAGAGCTGATCGCCACATTCTGGAAACACACCTTGGAGACAGTTATTGCAACTCAAGAAACCAAACTCAGCCAAGGGCTGATTTGCTCACCTCGATTGCAATCGCGACACATGTGTGCCTTGGGATGTTGAAGTATGGAATGGAGGCGATGAACAGGGAGAAAAACAAACCACATAGGATGGGGCCGCATATGCAGATCCAGTACTGCCAATGAGGATTGAGGATAGGGGCTTTCGTCTCCACTGTGGTGACAAGAGAAGACCAGAGGATGATCGCAAGGCCGATTAGCGACCCTATCGCCTGACTCCTCTGCTTGTACAGGGGGTTGTCTCCACTGTAGTAGGCTAACATCAAACCTCCGGTGACTGCTGAGATAACAACACCAATGGTGATAAGTAGGATAGACCAGCTGATGTCTACACGCTGATTGAACGCCAGGTAGGTGTACAGCAACAGGTTGAGAGGGAGCATCCCAAGGCTGATGATAGTTGACAATGTAGTCATGGCAACAGAAAGAGGAAGGTCGGCGTTGAAGATGGCACAAAACCAGTTGGAAAGGCTGCCTCCCGGAGAGCTTGTGAGGATCATGACGGTCAGAGCGACCTCATACTGAGGTTCGACAGCCTTCACGAAGATGAAGCCGAGCAAGGGCATCAGGAGCCATTGCAGCGACAACCCCAGCGCCAGCTGCGTCTTGTGGATTCGCTTGATGCTCCTTGCGTTCACGGAGGCTGACATACAGAAGACCAGCCCGAACAGCAGGACATTGCTCACGACCTGCCCAGCTGTCAACGAGAGACCTTCAACGGCAGACATCAGGGGCCGACCTGAGCTACTCTTTGGTTGACCGCGACCATGGTTGTGCGCACTCACGTTGGCATCATGAAGATAATGGCTGCGTGCTGGCGTGCATCTGAACAGCACACGTAAACAAAAGCTGCTCATTAAACATGTCAAAGCTCTATCCAAGCCGACAAAGGTGCCGTCAACACAGCACAGGGCGTGTCTAAACTTCTACTGAATTCAATGATGTGTGTGTCAAGACTATCATGACACGCAGCCTCAAGAAACTACTCTTCAGAGAGCTCAACTTCTTGCATCTCTCCTCTTTGCCATCATTACAGGCACAACCCAAATACGGCAGATCATTTGTCCCAGCACCACCAATCCTCGGGTTACAACAAATTCAATCAGGACCGCTGTGCCGACTAGCATTCCACTTATCATCGTCTGAAAGCACCTTACTCTCCCACTGATTGACATATGGGAGATGGTTTGAAGCAAATTATGGTTGAAATCCCTTACAATCCCTTTCCCAGAAATGAATCAGGCAGTCAGTTTTCTTCTCGCCCCCGTCTTGGTTGTTGCAAGGTCCAATCAGCTCAACTGCCGATACATGACTTCTTCTCCTCGTTCACTCCTTTCTCTCTGTATCTCATCTTTTCATTCCTAGTATTCTCTCAGCTCTCGTCTCCTCCTTTCCCTCTCCTCCTCTACTTCCGCCCTCAATCCTTCCCTCTATCCTCCTCCATGGCATTCTTTTATCCCTCTCCGAGACTACCCTACCCCCTTCTTGGAAAACTCGACGAAAAAAAATTGAAAGTACCCCACAATCAACAACTACTACCCCCTCCTCCATATGTCAGTACCCCCCCTTCTTATAAAAGTAAAAGAGGTCACAGACTCCTACCTGGGGTAGTACCCCTTGTAACGACATTACTCTAGTGGGTGGGGATACTCAAGGATAGCATTACCCCACCGTAGCACGTGTACTACCCTACCCCAATCCAGTGCTGCCAACCAACCACCCTCCCTTAAGTCTTCTTTGGTGATAACACCCGTGGTATGTTCTTTTTACTCGATGACCCTACCCCCCCTCCCCCTACCGGAATCTCCATCTCTTTACTAGCCGTGGCTGATATAAAATCCGGCGGCTCGGACTCGGAGGCCTGAGGCTTCAGTTATTGGTACTGATTTTAACTTAACTTTGAGTAAACTACCATTCTAGTGTCAGGCACCGGCGGACGGTAAACGGCGGACCGTCACGCCGCAGTCCCGGGCCCCGGGCCGTTCAACTGAGTGACGGACGGCCGCGCCCCGGCGGCCCGGGTGAGTGGGCCGAGCTTCGGAAGGCAACGGAAATTGTACAGTCACTAGTACCTACCTTCAAGTTGAGTTAAGACTACTAGGGGCACCAGGTAACTTATCGTTGATGAGTAAAACTACACGGTACTGCACTGCATCATTGAATGAATGCTCCAGCCTGGCCCCCCCCCACGGTAACTGAAAGAGAGATGCACTAGTACTGCCTGCTGCTCTTGTTCTCTCTGCTCCTCCACCGTGACGCGGCTTGCTCCATGTCAGAGTCCTGAGCTGCTCCCTGCAAGCAGTCATAGTACAAATGAGGCAACATAATGATTGAATGTGATCTCAAAACCAACGAAACACAATTGTATCATTCAAGAACAACCATTCTATATTCTAAGAGATTGTTAAGGATGTCTTTGGTGATGTAATCGATAAGATGTTGTTAGACAATGTTCTTAAGGGTTCATTTCAATTGCTTGATCAAACTCTAAATGATATATCTAATGGCAGCCCCTTTCTATGATATTAAATGCAAAGCCTTTGTGCGGAAAGCCACCTCTGCTTCGGGAGGCCGAGAACCTTAGTTGATGATCCCAGGCCTCATCAGTGGGGTCCTTCTTGTACCCTCCTGCTACTTCTGCTCGCTTCTTCCACGCTACTTACAGCGTGCTCGTCTCCTGCCCTCTCCTTCTCCCTCCTATGACTGCCTGCTATCTGTTGGTTCTGATTGAACAGAAACATGTTGGCCTGTGTCAGCCTGATGCATGCTCCTTTGAGTGTGATGGGGATGGTAAGTGAGTATAGCGAGCTCAGATCTAGCTCTTCTGCTTGTATAGAGCCGTGATTCTGCAAGGGCTGTTGATTCCTTGTTGATCACTTCTGATGTTCAGTGGATGCGATGTGCAGCAACCTTGCAAGTGCTCATCAACATTCTGACGGTGTTTTACAGCGCTAAGTTATCAAGAGGTCTTGACGATGTTGATCTGATCTGTTGCCATGGAGGATTCTGAGATAGCAGAGTCGTACGATGGTAGCTATCATCGAGTTGCAGATCGATCTCACTGTCTTGGATGTAGACGAGGAGTTTTACGCGGAAGAAGTCCAGGAGGACCAGTGGCTTGGGAAGGAAACGAGCCCACTTGCATGGGGGGCAGAAGACCTTCAATCCTATATCTTGGACAACTACGGCAAATGGACGACAGCGAGCAAGGTAGAGGGAGGGCGCGAGCAAGGCAAGGGAGACAAGGCAAGCAGCAGGCCAGAGCATGTCAGTGCGTTGCCTCTCAGAAAGCTTCCCGCGTCCTGCCGCAGCCAGTCGGAGCCCCTGGCGAGCATCCGCAAGGACTACCTCACCCACGTTTCGGGGCATCGACCCCAGCTGAGCAGGCCGAAGACTGCGAGGAGTCAGCCTCCCCTGTCTGCTCGCACGCCATCTCAGAGCAGCGCGATGAGTCAGACGATGAGGAGACCGCTGACCGCTAGGACCTTGACGCACCAGACAGTAGCAAGCTCCTCCTCCAAACCCAGGAAGGTGAACAAGAAGCTTGAATGCGGTCACTTGCTTCCGAACTGCTGGTCTCCTCTGCCTGGCGTGAAGGAGGAGAGAGATATGCTGGGGATCCTGCGGCAGGCTGAGTCAATGACGGGAATGAAGGTTCCCACAGGGAAGCAAGCGCTTCTGAAGAACCCCGAGCTGCTCCAGGCCTACTCGACCAGCCGCAAGCAGCTGCAGCTGGCTCCGGCAGATCAGTTGAGTTCCGACAGCAGCGACTCTGAGACAGAGAGCGAGGCTGCCAGCAAGCCATCTGAGCCCGTCGACAACTCATCGGGTCAGATCAGAGAGAAAGCGACGGAGAAGCTGCTGGGAATCCACGTGCTCAAGGCAGACCTTGTTTGCAATGAGACGAGGGTGCAGTACTCGAAGCAATACTTCCAGCGCTACCCCAAGCTGCTGGCTGAAGAAAACCTGGACAAGCGAGTCGGAGTCGTGGTTGGCTGGGACTCCAATGCTCAAACCACCATCGTGAAGTGGGAGGATGGAACGATCGAGTACTGCTGCACAGGCTTCTCCAAGTTGTTCTTCCTCAAGCTTGCGGAGGAGAAGGAAGAAGAGGAGCAGTCAGAGGTGGACACGAGTGAGAAGATCGCACACCTGCTGCGCCTGCCGAGGTGGCAGATAGCAGAGCGAGGATCAGACAAGGGGATCGCGCGACTAGTGAAGGATGGCCTGCGAGCTCAGAAGGTCCGGGGCATTCAGGATGAGCTGCAGAGGATGAGGCGGGTGCAGAAGCTGGTGCTCAAGGAGAACCCCCGGTCAGAAAAGTCCTCCAAGTTTCGCTCCAGGCTCCTGAGCACCCAGCAAGACTTCCTGCGCACACTCGACGATCAGTCGGCCATGGGATCCTGGATCGTCGTGAGCGCCAACGGCAGCGAAGTGGAGATCCCTCCGTCGAGCTTGACGCCGACGATGATGGCGGCGTTCAGCAGATCAAAGGTCTCTCTTCTAGACGAGGTGCGCAACGTAGTTCAGAGAGACACCGTACTGGCCAACAGGAGGCAGAAGGCGGAGGAGCAGGGGGAGCAGCTGAAGAAGAAGAGGGGGCGACGGCACCCCCTCGCTGGAGAAAGCGATCCGATGGACGTGAATCAGATGATCAAGTACAACACGTCAAAGTTCAAAATCCCTCTCAAGTCGCTCATGAAGAGCAGGGTCGAGGACCTGGAGGTTGTCTTTCACTCCGTCTTCCAGTTCTTTGACTTCACCCGCTCCGGCGCCATCTCCCTCATCGACTTCGAGCGGGCCATGACCATGATCGGAGTCCCCGGGCTCAAGAACAACTCGCACGTGTGGATGAAGAAGAAGGTGGACCCGAAGCAGCGCGAGATTGACTACGAGACCTTCAAGAGCATGACTGTCAAGCTCATAGAAGCCGCCAGAGACGGGAAGCCGATGGCAAAGACGCCGAGCGACGCTGCTGCTAGTCCTGCATGGACGGCGAGGTCATGACCGAGGATCGTTGTGCGCATCGGAAGTTGTACTGGCAGCTTGATGCGGTGCCACTTAGTACAACGATGCCGCTGATGCCTGTCACTTTCAAGTTTGGTGAACGAGGAGTTGTCATCGCTATCAGAACAGGCTGAACTGACAGTGAAGTCAGCAAGACTCTCAAGTGACGTTACAAACTAATCATGTGTGATCATAAACTCATTGTCTCTCAAGTGACGTTACAAACTAATCATGTGTGATCATAAACTCATTGTCCAGCTGCGGCAGTAACAACTTCTGTGAGTGAACTCAGTGCATCAGCCTACAAGCATGATGAAGAAGGACGTTGTGCGCAATTACATTACCCATGTTCCAATTACAATGAACTTAGGAACAACGTCGAGATGCACATTACAGACCATCACATGACAGTGTACTGAATATCGCTAAACTTCAGAGCAACGATGTCCACAACTCGGTTCTTCTCAGAACCGTCGTGATGGCGTCTGACTCGGTTCTATTACGAATCCAGGATGAATAGGAAGCTTGCCTTGCTGTACCCCCGGAGAAGGCGGCATCCATTTGTGTTGCCAAATCTTGTTAATCATGCGTCGAGGCGAAGCCGATGATTGATTGATTGATTGCCATTCTGCAAGTTTACTTCATGAAATCCGTTCACAATAGGAGTCCTCACCATGAACCCTGACATTCGCATCGCATGTTCGAATTCAAAATGCTTCCACTGCCTCACCGGCCATGTGACATTCATGAGTTCATGAGCTGCTGAGGCATCAATCCTCTTGTCTCACAATGGGAAGCACGAGACATACAGTGAGGGGCCACGGGTTGATGCGCACCGAGCATCAGGTCCAAGGTCTCGCGACCTTGGGCGAGATCTTCCGTGGGGACAAGTTGTATCAATCTGCTGGGGATCGGTGAACCCAACAGCTGCTACCATGGTAGGCATCGGAACCCAAGTTTCCATCACAACGACCACTGAAGATGTGAGTGATATATAACTTACTAACACTGATCATGGCATAACTTTCAACATTCACTTGATTCTTGCAGCAATGATGAAACAACGCAACCGTTCACTAGGTGCATCGTGAGAGCTCTGTAAGTTGAAGCGTGTAGATCTACTTACCTGTTGAGATCTTGACGGGAATCGATCAGTTGCTCAGATTCATTCTGTTTGCACATCTTGGACAACAGTGATGTTGCACATCTTGGACAACGGTGATATTTGTATTAGAAACTCTTTCCAAATAAGATGTTGAATCCAGACGGATAGTATGATACACAACGCGCCATTTCCTGGGAAGCCAGTGCCCCCACCAACCCAGCGGTAACGATCACTTTAACATTTCTGTATCAAAACCTTGTGAAACCGGCAAAAAAGTTATCAAAGGTTCGTATCCCCAGCCATATCAAGATAAACCTAACATGACCTGTTCCGACTGCGCGATCAACTCACAGCTTGAGAGCCAACGAGCATCCGGCGGAATCTGAGCAGACTAGTCCCGTCAAACAGGCTAGTCCCGTCACGAGTCAAACAGGCTAGTCCCGTCAAACAGACTAGTCCCGTCAAACAGACTAGTCCCGTCAAACAGACTAGTCCCGTCAAACAGACTAGTCCCGTCAAACAGGCTAGTCCCGTACGGTCAAACAGACTAGTCCCGTCAAACAGGCTAGTCCCGTCAAACATACTAGTCCCGTCAAACAGACTAGTCCCGTCATACAGGCTAGTCCCGTCAAACAGACTAGTCCCGTCAAACAGACTAGTCCCGTCACGGTCAAACAGGCTAGTCCCGTCAAACAGACTAGTCCCGTCAAACAGACTAGTCCCGTCAAACAGACCAGTCCCGTCAAACATACTAGTCCCGTCAAACAGACTAGTCCCGTCAAACAGACCGTCGGACCGTACTAGTCCCGTCAAACAGACCAGTCCCGTCAAACAGACTAGTCCCGTCAAACAGACTAGTCCCGTCAAACAGACTAGTCCCGTCAAACAGACTAGTCCCGTCAAACAGACTAGTCCCGTCAAACAGACTAGTCCCGTCAAACTGCTACTAGGCCGACGGTAGTCACTCGCCTAGTATTACCGTCACTCACGGCTCCGCTGCCTCGGGTCGGCCCATGATTTGCCGGGCTGACTCTGAATTTTGTGGTGACTCAAATTGGAAAGAAAGATGGGGGATGAGGGGCACAAATAAGCAAGGGCATGCAAGCAGTTTGGCATGAGGCAGCGACAAGAAGCGAGGGACGAGAGGATGAAGATCTGAATCGCAAGCAACTCCTCCTCGAGCCTTCTGAATCGCAAGCGTCTCCTCCTCGAGCCTTCTGAATCGCAAGCGTCTCCTCCTCGAGCCTTCAACCCGACTCTGACGTCCCCTTCTCCTGCTTCTCGTGATGACCAGTCAATCCGAGCCAGAGCTGTTCCGTGAGATTTGCAGTAGAGCAAAACGAATCGAGCAGCTCTATGTCTTCCTGCCTGTTTGTTGGCGAAAGTCCAAGTTCATGATATTCGATCTCAAGAATGCCGCGCAGTACAACGGAACAGAGTGCATAGCAAAGGGAGTAGACCCCGGATCAGGGAGGATCATGACAAGGCTTCTCAACCAAGATCAGAATGAGTTGCTGATCAAGCACGAGAACCTTCAACTTGTGAACCTGAACCTCGACGAGAAGAGCGAGCCGGTCCTTTGTAAGGCCAAGGAAAGGCTGAGCGTGTCCTCGTCAACTTCCGTGCCCATGACCAGGGAAGGGCTGGCCAGCTCGATTGTGAACCTGACGCAAGGTCTGCTGGACGTAACCTTTGCGATTGAGAACAACATGGTGGATGACGACTTCTCGAACAAATCGCTCTTCAGGGAGGTGAGACGAACTACGGAGCAGCGTGCCGCCTCTGATGCATCTGCAGATCCTGAGCACCCTCAAAGGGGTCGAGGACCTGTGCTTAAAATACTGCGCTTGCTTCGGGGACAAGCCCTCCAACGGTATGCAAGACGAGGAGCAGCACGAGCAACTGCAACATGCTGAATGCCGTGCTGGTGTGCAGGGACGGAGGCCATGAAGGAGGTTCTAGGGGATGGCATGGCAGAGTGCGTTCACTGGAGGAGGGGAGCTCTAGCGTATATGTTCACGGCGGTGGAGGCAAACTTTCAGCACGAGCTGGAACTTTCCTTGATCGAAGAAGGCCTCGAACAGGTGTGTCGTCCTCCCCACGTTCGAACTAGGAGCTCAGCACTTGCTTCGCGCACAGTTCGAGAGCATGCTCGGGACCCGAGGAAAGAAATACCAGGAGGATGCCGATGACTGTGAAGGCAACGAGGATGTTCGAGAGATGCTGAAGAACAGTGCGGGGCCTTGAAACTACCCGTGTTTGTTGTCGGCCGTAACTTCTTGCAGGTATCCTAAGTGATACTCACCTGCTATCTGTCGTCTACTCGGGTAATCCCTTTCATCTCCATTCCATGTGTCAGATTGAGAAGTGACTTGCTGCACAAAAGGGGAGATGTGCTATTGGGCTTGGAAGGTGATCGTAACCTTGGTGAGGAGCCGTCTTACATGTGCTCTAGGATCAGAACGTTTCTGCTTCAAGCGAGGACGTCAAGACTTCATTCAGGGCCAGGGCAGTAAGGTATGGATCTGAATATTTGAATATCACTACAAGTAACACCTCGATGTCCGTAGTTTTCTGAAGAAGTATCTCCATATTGTCAGTATCATGACCAAAGCCGGTCCCAACTCTGTCGGGTCTGGATGGGATACAACAAGAGCAGAATCCTTGATTAGTGAGTTGCAAGGCCAATGACGACAACGATGGATGAACAAATTCTCCTTCTCTGTTGATCGACGCTCGTCATACTGCATCACAGCGCTCAAAGTTGCCAGATTGCTTCTCAACTAGCTAGTCTGGTTTGAAAAGATTCCTGTAATCCACTCAGTTCGCTGAAGACATGTTCCCTTCGAACTTCCAGCTGGGCTCAGTTCTTTCATCCTCATAGCAGGATGAGGCCGAAAAGGCGATACAAATAAACATCTCATCTTCTTCATCGCAAAATGTACATCTTGTGCCGTACTGGCGTCCCATCATGGCCCTGCCATCTCTCCGACAAATGACCACGACCACCCCTGTGCCCTACAGTGGCTCTACCCACCCTACCCCTAAGTATCCCAGTGATCTCATATGCATGGTACCCCTTCTTCGTCCTGAACCCAGTTGTGGCTAGCCAAAGGACCAGACTACCCCCACCCCCTTCAGATCTCGTGATAAATTTCCGTTCACCCACCCTTTCACGCTATGTCCCAACGTACTATTGTGGTACCCCCCATATCCCCCAAATTGTACCCCTGCTCTGATGATGATTACAACTACCCCTGTACTATTCACCCACCAATTGTATATGGCCAGGCCTGTCATCATATCACCACCCTCCAGGCTGGAGTACCCTTGACAATATTACCCCTAGCATCACAAGTTCGACAAAAACCTTGAATTTTTCACCCCTTCTTTTCATAGTCTAGTACCCCACTTTTGAACAAGCTAAAACGTGGTTGACCACTAATTGGCTACCCCCTACCCCCTTTTCAATCAACAAAAACACACCTTGATGATTACTACCCCTCATTCTACTACCCCCTACCCCTCAAAGTACGGATCACCACTTCTGTATTTCTCCCCCAGTTAGTCGTGTTTTACCACTTGCTCCTAGCCTGCCTTGTACTACTCTCTCCCCTCCTCCTCCTGCTCCTCCTTTTCTCCCTCTTCCTCCTCCTTCTTGTCCTTATTCTGATCTGCTTGATCCTTCTTCTTAACCTTTTTGCATACTTCTTCTTCATTCCTTGCGTATCCATCCCCCCCCGCCCCCCCGCCCGACCCCGCTGTTTTGTGCTATCTTGGTTCACTTGCCCTCTCCTTTCAATCTTCAACCCTTTGCATTTTTTCTCGCACATCTCGTTGCCCTCCCTCCTCTTGCATCTGTCCTGTAGACGATGAGGCGGCGTTTTTCCAAGTTTTCCATCATTTCGTTCCTGGCTCTCCAACTCTCTTTCTCGCATGCATTCATTATCCGTCCTCCAACACTCGCAAGGCTCAAACATGCAGCAGCAAGCCATGCCCATCGAAGACACAATCTTGATAGAAACTATGGGAGGAAGGTGACAGCGCTGAAGATGGTTGACATGGACGTGGGAATGCTCGGAGTAGCAGTTGCAGGGTCCGTCTCAAGCTCGGCTGCTGTGCTGGACGCTGTTCCCAAGCTTGTGAACGAGAATCTCGAGAATCTCATCATCGGTGCTCTCGCCGGGATGGTGGCGAGTGCGGTTGTCTTCCCTATCGACACGGCCAAGACGAGGATACAGGCGGCGGACGGGGGCACGAGGCTCAACACCTTGCAGACCATAAAGAAGATCATCGACGAGGAAGGCTTTCTCGCGCTGTATAGCGGGCTGGTGCCGGTGATGATCGGTGCGGCCCCGGAGTCTGCAATCCAACTCTCCATGTACGAGTTTGTCTTGTCGACGCTGAAGCACGCTCAACACATCGACGGTGTCTCGTCGGTTCCTGTTCACCTCCAGGCCCTGGCAGGGAGCTTCGCCGGCATCGCCACTATCGTCGCGACTAACCCTCTGGAGGTCCTCAAGATCCGAGCACAGACGAGCAGAGACAAGAAGTCCACCATGGACCACGTCAGAGAGCTGGGGCTCTCCGGGCTTTACACGGGATACCAGGCCACGTGGTTGAGGGACATCCCCTTCGCAACCATCTACTTCCCCTTGTACTCGAGCGTGAAGTCATGCATGAATGGTGTCTGCACGAGCAGCCTGGCATCTGCCATGGTCGCGGGTCTGTTCTCCGGCATGATGGCGTCGCTGGTCACGACCCCAGCCGACGTGATCAAGACAACTGTGCAGTCGTTGCCTTCGAAAGTTGGCTTGGCGGGAGATGCTACGGGGAGAGAGAAGATGGACATCAGGAGCGCTGCTGACCTGGTGCTGCGATCGAAAGGCATGAGCGGTTTCTTCTCTGGGGTGGAGGCCCGGTTGGGAAGGATGGCTCCTGCCATGTCCATCAGTCTGTGCGTGTTCGAGGGCCTGCGCAGCTTCTTGGGACGAGGGGCGACGCTCAAGATGGCGCCGGTGGTCCTAGCAAGCGCAGATGACTTCACGCTACAGACACCTGCCAGCGTTGCTGATCATGCCGTGGCAGTACAGGACTTGCAGAACTCTGGGGTGATACAGGTACGAGACCTTGCCGTTTGGCGCGTGAGGACTGTGACTGACATTTGTTTCCGCTCAGTCTGCGGTGGACTCAGTTAGCTCGATGGCAAGTGGGCTTTCAAACGTTGATCCTGCGCAAGTCTTGAATACTGCGTGCAATGTTGCGGACCACATTGTGTCTGTTTGCGGCAACCTGCCGTGAGTTGTACTTCAGTTTTCTATCTGTGATTGTTTCTGTCTCATGATCTCAATGCTCTTAACCTGATAGTAAATTCCTCTTACATCCCTCGCTTCTGCACTTCTGTCATCTACACGTCCTCTCTGATGTGTGTTGCAAGAGAAAGCCTCAAGTGGACAGGAAAAAGCACTCGGATCCTTGCAATGAATAACAATGGGTAGGTGGGGGTCAGCGAGTAACCGGTGTCTGGTGACTGTTCCATGCAGGACCCCTCATATAAAGGTGTAAAATAGGGGTATCACAAACTATGATGGTATTGGACACTTGGGGGGTACACTAGAATCTGGGGTACTGGGGTGGTCATTAGATTGGAAAAGATGTTGCGGATCAGTGGCGGGATCCATAGAGACAAGGGGAGGAGAAGAAGGAGGAAGCGGAGGAGGAGGAGGAGATTGGATGAGGGGTAAAACCATCGCCATGAGGACGATCCTTGTCTCTACGAGTCTCTTGTCTGTTCTCACTGCCTGCGCTCTAGGGGGTTGGCATGGAAAAACCAAGATTGCCATGAGCGTGGATCTAGGAAGTTCAGAGGAAGGGGAAGGTGAGGGTGTGAGAGAGGCGGCTCCATCTGACGAGCTTGTGGATCCAGCGATCCCTTTCGTTGAGGATACTGGTCAAGGGTATAGAATCACCGATGAAGCCATCGCTTTCTTGAAGACCGTGCGGTCAAAGTTTGTTCTATTCCTCAGACATGACGGGGCTGCAGGTTGACGCGCCCGTCGCTGTCCTGGCGATCTGCGGAGCGCACAGATCTGGGAAGAGCTTCATCCTCAACAGGCTGTTCCTCGGCAAGAAAGGATTTCCTGTGGGTTCTGGTGTGTCAACATGCACCAAAGGGATGTGGATATGGAACAAGACGGTGATAGTGAAAGACGCCAACGGCACAGCGACCAAGTTCGTGCTGATAGACACTGAAGGGTTTGGTTCTCCAGAAGAGAATCATGATTCATCGCTGCTGACGCTCGCTCTCTTGCTCAGCTCCTACTTCGTATACAACAGTGTTGGCGCCATTGACGAGATCACGTTGCGACAGTTCTCCTTCGTTTCCGATGTCCTCGACCTGATCGCGAGCCAGAAGATCGGCCATGATGGAGAAATTCCGTTCAACGTGTTCCCGTCCTTCATCTGGTTGCTGAGAGACTTCTCGCTCGAGCTCGTGTCCTCCGACGGCAGCAGGATGTCCGCATCAGAATACCTCGAGTATGCCCTGTCCGCATCGGCGGACGAGGGGCCGCAGAGCGTGAAGAGCACGATCAGGAAGACGTTCTCCGAGTGTTTCAGGGAGAGAGATTGTGTTGCTCTTGTCCGTCCTGTGGTAGATGAGAAGAAGCTGCAGCACCTTGCCGAGGTAGAGGAGGACGACCTCCGTCCTCAATTCGTTGACGAGCTCAGTGAGCTTCGGAGGATGATCCTGGGCAGGGCAAGGGCGAAGCAGATCAACGAGATGTTTGTGAGCGGGAGCGGTATCCTGTCGCTAGCCAACTCTTTCCTGCAATCTCTGTCTCCTGCCCCTCCCCACAGTCTGGCAGGGGACCTGGCTGTGCACGATGCGGACAGGAAAGGGGCTGCGATGGTTGATGCTGCCCTCCACAAGTTTGCGGACGGAGTGAATGCGCTGGAGTATGCACTTCAGCCCCTCAGTGACGTTGACTTCGACCGATGGTTCGAGACCGCTGCTGCCTCGGCCCGCAGAGTTCTGCTGCAAGGTTTCATTCACGATGAGCACTTGCCGGCTGTCATGGAGAGGTGAGAAGAGGGAGAAGAATGAGGAAGAGGAATGATGGTAGTCCTTTTGATGTCTTGTCCTGGAATGCGAGGAAGTATGTTTTGAAAGAGAAGTTTTGATATGTTTGCAGGTTGCAAGACAAGATAGAAGAGAAGAGAAGGAAACTGCGGACATTGAATGAAGCTAGAGCCGCCGATCTTGTTGAAAAAGTTTATGCACAAGTCAGAAAAGGGCTGGAAGAGAAACGATACTCTTCGTTGTCGCAGTACTTGACGGATCATGCTCGGATTAGAAACTGCTGCTCGTCACAGGTTTGATAATTTCTGTCATGACAAGTTTATCCGATGAAGCATGACGCTAGTGTCTGTGGAGTTGATGGTGGTGGTGGTGACTTTTTGACATGAAATGTCTAAGTGATCAAAGATGTTGTGATTGCGTGTTGAAAACACAACAAGAGTGTGAGATGGAGTGGTTTCAATGATTGACGTTGCAAATGTGCTGTCACGGAGATGTGCTGGTTTGATAGAGGTTGACATGCTTTTCAGATCCCTCGAGTCGTTCTGAGCGAACTCATGGAAGAGGAACTTCGTAAAGGCGCAATGCAGATCGCTTCCTCCGTTCAGGAAAGAGTTCAGGTGGGAGGAGGGATGGAGGGAGGAGGGAGGAGGGAGTGAGAGAGTAAAGTGGGGCGGTGGAGTAGAGGAAGGAAAAGGGATAATATTGGAGGTGATGATGTGGAAGCATTTGAAGGAACAATCCAAGCGAAAACATTGTGTGGAGGAGAAGAGAGGGAGGGAGGGAGGAGGGAAGGAGGGAGGGAGGTAGCGAAGACACGCGATGATGTTGGAAAGCAAGGATGAGAGGAGGGAGGGAGGGAGGGAGTGACGGGTACCTTGCAGGAGGAAGTCAGAAGGTCGTTGATAAGCGAGCTCACGGAGGGCGAGACGAGCGAGGAGGACGGAGAGACCCACAGGCTGAGGAAGATGCTGTCGCTGTGCGAGGAGACGCTGGCGAGAAGGGAAGCGCAGATTACAGAGATGAATGCTGAGCGGGTGAAGATGGAAGGGAGGATGGGAGAGGTGAAGATCTTGCTGGAGTCGGCGGAGAGGAGGGCCAAGGACATGGAGGCGCAGCTGGAGAGGAGCGAGCAGCTGCTGTCGTCGTGCAGGGAGGAAAATGAGAGGTTGAAGGAGGAGAGAGCGGGGATGGAGGAGGAGAGGGACGAGAGGGTGAAGGCGTTGCAGGCTGAACACAGGAGGAGGGAGGAGGAAGTGGAGAAGGCTTTGGAGCAGGCAGAGCAGAGCAGAGCACACCTTGAGACGAAGCAGGAGAACAACGAGAGGAGGATAAAAGAGCTGCTGGATGACCTTGCCAGCATGGAGGTGAAGCTGCGGGAAGCCGAGGGGAGCAGCGGAGGTGCGCTGGCAGCGACGGAGGAAGCATGGAGGGAGAGGAAGGCAGAGGAGGATGCGGCGCATCGTCGGCAGCTGGAGCTGGTGAAACTTGCGAACGAGGAGGCGGTGCAGGAGCTAGAGGAGACGTTCAGGACGGAAAGGGAGGTGCTGGCAGCCCGAGTTCGCTTCCTCGAAGAGCAAACGACCGAGCTGGCAGCTGAGCTGGACCAGAGGAGGGAGGAAGCGGCTGCGACAGCGAGCGAGTACGAGGCAGCAGTGGACGAGCTCGAGAAGGAATTGGCCCACCAGCGGGAGCTGCTGGCCGCCAAGGGGGAGGTAGGAGCGTTCAAGCACACAATCGAGGCGCTGCACAGCGTGATAGCGTCAAGAGGAGGAGGAGGAGGAGGAGGAGGAGGCGAGGAGGCGATCAACTTGATTACGAGCATGTCGCGGATCATCGCGCAGAAGGAGGAGGAAATGGAGCAAATCCGCGAGTCCTCCGACGACACGCTGGGACGCTGAGGAGTTTGATTGAGAAGAAGGACGTAGAGAACGACAAGTACAAGAGGGCACTGAAAGTGTTTCTCCTGCACAGCCTCAAGGTGCTCTCCTCCTCCTTCGTCGCCTCATTTTCCTTCTTTCTCCTCAGGGTCCTCCTCCTCCCTTTCCTCCTACTTCTCCTCCTCCTCCTCCTCCTCCTCCTCCTCCCCCTCCGTCCCGTCCTACATCTCCTCGTCCTCTTGCTGCTAGCACTCCCTTCCAGCCAACCTCCAATTCTCTCTGTCCTCCGATCCTCACAGCTTAGCTTCTCTGCTGTCTCTCCTCCCTCCTCTCCCTACCTTCAGGCTGCCTATCCTCCTCCTCCCCTCCTCCCCCAAAGCAACACCGTCTTGTCTGCTCCTCGCGTAACATGCAGCAGGTGCAATGTCGCTACTGCGGGAGGGAGGTGGAGGCGCGAGCAGCGGTCGACCACATGCCGATGTGCATGCACAGGAGAAACGTTCGACTGTGGCAGGTGAGGAGAGCGAAGAGGGGAGAGGCCAAGGGATGGGAGCTGAGAGGAGGAGGGAGGAAAGAGGAGGGAGGAGGGAGGAGAGAGAGCAGGAAGAAGAACGAGAACGGAAGAGGGAGGAGGGAGGAGCAGGGAGGTGGAGGTACGAGAGAACTCCAGCGGAGGACACAACAAGGAATCTGGACATGAGCTGATGGAAAGTAGGAGGAAGGAGGCGACGTCGGGGGCTGGGAATGGAAAGTTGAAGTGACGACAACGAGTGAGGAAGAGGAAGGGAAAAAGAAGACCGTCTTTCATGTCAGAGCACAGGTTCCAACTTCTTCCTCCTCAGCATCATCATTCTCGTTCCTCTCCTTCTTCTGCTTCTTCTCCTCTACTACCCGTCTTGGCCCTCTATCCTACTATGATTTTCTTCCCTCATGATCGACCTCCTCACGTTCTTCTCCCTCCCTCCCTCCCTCCCTGCCAGCCAGCCTGCCTGCCTCCCTCCCTCTCCATCTCCCTCCCTGCCTGCCTGCCTGCCTGCCTGCCTCTCCCTCTCCCTCTCTCCCTCTGTCTCTGTCTCCCACTCCCTCTCCCTCTCCCTCTCCCTCTCCCTCTCCCTCCCTCCCTCTCCTCTCTCTCTCACTCTCTCATTCTCTCGCTCAACTTCATCGCAGAGAGCCAACGTTCTCTTCATCGTCGCCAAGAGATATCGCGACCTAGTCAAGTTCGCTTCCACCCTCAAGACCAAATTCCCCCGTGTCAAAGTAGTCTAACTCCCTCCTCCCCTTTCACTCTCCCCTCCCCTCCCCTCCCCTCCTCTCCGCTCCCCTCCCCTCCCCTCCTCTCCTCTCCTCTCCTCTCCCCTTCCCTCCCCTCCTCTCCTCTCGCATCCCCTTTCCTCTCTTCCGCTCCTCTGCCCTCTCTCTTCCTCCTCCCTCTAACAGCTGCGCAGCTGCCTGAGTTTGTTCCGCTCCACTCGAGCTCCACCAGCATCTTCCAGCCTCAGACGCACGTGCCTGAGCAGCGAGTGGAACAGGTCGAGAGGAGAGGGAGGAGAGGGCGAGGGGAGATGGGTAGAGGGAGAGGGAGAGGGAGAGGGAGAGGGAGAGGGAGAGGGAGAGGGAGAGGGAGAGGGAGAGGGAGAGGGAGAGGGAGAGGGAGAGGGAGAGGGAGAGGGAGAGGGAGAGGGAGAGGGAGAGGAGAGGGAGAGGGAGAGGGAGAGGAGAGGAGAGCGAGAGGAGAGCGAGAGAGAGAGAGAGAGAGAGAGAGAGAGAGAGAGAGAGAGAGACGAGAGAGACGA